TAAAAAAAAAGTTAATAATTATATTTTAACAAAGTTTCAACAGCTATTATTAATATATGAGTTAAGATTTTTTATTCATTATAGTATTAAATATTAAGATTTATTATCAATAATCTATATTCATTTTGTTTTAATAAATTTAAAATGTAATTGTTTAATCTATTTTGTAATCGATATTTCTTAGCATTTAGACAACTTTTAATACTATGATGAAAAATTTTTCAGACAAATTTTGGACATATATTGATACATCTTTAGTTAAAATCATTTTTCTACTATATTCAATATAGGCTGTTGCATAAACTCTTATTTTTTGAAGAGTTATACCTAAAACTTCTTGTTCTTGAGAGTATTGTCATTTCTAACTGCTTTTCAAACTTGGATAACCAATGACTCAGGTCTTGTAATTTATTCAAGCTCTCTGTATAATTCTTGCTTTTCCAATATTGGTCTTTGATTTATTATATCCATTATGCCAATGATTGATCATCAAATTGCTAGGTTCGAGATGATCAAAATAATATAATTAAATATTTTTTAGGATTTATACAATCAATTTTTATTAATTTTCAACAATAAAAGCAAATAGCTTTGAGATTCTTATGGATTCTAGGTCTGTAATAATCAAAATTACGTAATACCTTTATCAAATGATGTGAATAAACATATCCAATGATATACACTAAATTTACCCACATTTAATAAATTCTGCAAAGGTACTCTGACCCATATTGCCCATTGAACTGGTGTTTCATCCTTTTTTATGATAAATAAAGTATCAAATGATCTCTCATTATCGAAGAGTTCATCATATAATTTTTCGTCCAAATCCAAATAATTTTCAATATATGACATGACGCATTTCATATAATATCCAGGACAAATGTTAAGGGGTTTGGGCAATGTTCTATCTTTCTTATCAAGTAAAGTTGTAAGATCAAAACCAGACATATTTATCGATTATATAGTATAATATATTTAGTGGTTTTTGACTTACAATATGCTGTACATATCTATTACATTATTCAATTTTAGCGTAGATCGGATTGTTAGATATCTTTTCGAGACTATTATATTTTGGGGGATTTTTAGTTGTAGTGAGATATAATTTGTATAGTTGTTCATAAATTGAGGAATAAAATATGGGTATCTCGATTCAAGCGTTGGTATTTATATAAGATCTTGTGAAAAATCACGTGTTTCCATATTGTGGATACGTAATCATTGCACGATCTATTTCGGATGTACTGTACGTATTATTTAATTTTCTGAAAAAATTAATTATGCTATCAAATATATTATTTCGAGTTAAGCTAGTCTATTCTTTTGCTGTTGTTATTTGGATTGAATTTTGATAAGTTTCCCAGCAATTAGTATGATAAGTTTTTGTATTAACATAATCTCCATTACCCCATAAACCCTGTATATTATCTCTTATATTTTCTTTCTTATGATCTTTATTACATATATGACAAGTTGTTGAACAGTCAAAGTAATCATTATTCCCGATACTATATTTTAACGACAAATCAGGAAATCGCTCTAATACTTTGTTTATAATAATTTTTGCTTCTCTTCTGGACCATCGGAAATTGGAGGTCCAGATTTATTGGATATATTTACCTGAGATGTGGGTGATTTATTTACCTTGACTTTCTCACTTATCTCATCTCTCAAATCAGAAATATGCGATGTCTGTATAGAGGGAATTGTTGTAATATTTACCTTAGTTTTTGGTAAAACCTTTTCAGTTTGATCGTCTTTCTCTATAGCGGTTTTTGATTTCACTTGATCTATAATGTATTTGTACATTAGTCAATTTTGAAATTTCATTCGCACTAACCGTAATCAGTTTAATTTTATCTATTCCAATTCCATTTTCTCCAAATAGCACAAGAAGTTTTTCTGAAACCATGACTTACAATTAGCTGTAATGATATGAACACTGTTTTCGAATTCAAGATAATAATTCCAGTTTGAATTTTTTCATGTCTGGATTTAATCGCTGTTATAAATAAATTAGATATATATTGAGCCGTACTTTTATCATTTAATATATTGATCTCTGTAGAGATAGTACTTATTATCTATCGCAGAATCAATGAAACTTTGTCCCTCAGTAGATAAATGCATTCTTCTATTAAACTCTGTTTCACAATTCGATTTTATCAGCCTCATCATCTTGATCCAATTCAGATATTTCAGTTTGATCATTTCTCGAATTAATAATGGTTTTTGTTTCGCATGATAAATTGAAACTTGATCGTTCCCAGAGTGAACGGTTTTTATATAACATGACAAATTTGAATTTTGATTATAATTCTTAGAGAAGATGGTTTTTTTTATCGTCTGATAATCCTGGATAGTTGTTTCTCTTTGAAACTTCTTTTCCTGATTTTTTTCTCTTATTTTCTCGCCAATCGTTTCTTATATACGCTATCCAGGAAATCATTAATTTCCTTCTCTTCCGATGATGTAAAAGAAGACGTGAATGATCTATTATTCTTTTTCTGATATGTATCAGAACCAGAGGTTCGGTGCTCTGCATCATTAGATGTTATATCAGAGCTATTTTCTGGAGCAATACTAGAATTTGAAGTATTATTAGGTATATTAGATGCCGGAGTATCGTTATAATTTACTGGAGATTGTGAAACTCTTTTGTGGAATTACCTTTTTCTTTTTCTAATACAGCAAGACTGGTCTCAAGCTCTTTATTCTTTTGCTCTAATTTCTCGACTCTAACATCACGCTTTTACTTTTTTCTCAACAATTTGCTTCAACCTCGCGTTCTCATTCTCAATCTCAGCAAATCTTAGTAGCTTCTCTCTAAGTTCACGAATTTCAGTATTCTCTTTCATAAGTTTGGCAATCTCAGTTAAGAGCTTGGAATTTAATTCCCTTAATGAATCATTGGATTGCATGTTCGATGTTAATTTTTTATATGCGATAGAATAATTCAAAAGTTCATAGATAGATAAAAAACGAGGTCTTGGTCAGAATTACTGATTGATGTAAAAATAAATTACAAGATTCAGTAATACACAAACTTGTTTGCGCAAAGTGAAATGGCATTTCCATATAATGTCTGTGGTTATTCGCTTGTCTACACTACTAATACACAATATCCCACTCCCAGTTCGGTTTTATTGCTCCAATCATTCAATATACCGTATAAAACAAAATGTACTATCAGTTATAGTAAAGTCCGTTGAAATTTATGTTGTTTACATTTCGAGGTGCTAGTAAGGTTTGTGCGAAAAATGACATTCGCTTGCTTTTTTTAAACTGCACAGGCGTATACATACTGCGCATTTATTTTTTAAAAATGCCACGTGATGTTAGTGATCACCTGTTTTCATACGTTTAGTATTTTTTATTTTTTTTGAAACAGATTATGTAAACAGAAACTGCATATACAAAATGAAATGTCCGTTAAGTAGTTCTCTAGGTAGTCCTTTAACAAGGTCTTTATTTGTACTTATTGAAAAATCTGTTTTAAATCCCATTTTAACTATCGATTTACGTGTTTGCAGGTATATCACCAATATCACGGCATTTTGTTTTGTGGAGGGTACCGAAGTTGAGAACTCCTTTCAAATTGAAGGCCAGGTGGGAACGACTATCTCAAAACTAAGGGAAGTGATCTATGAGAAGAATAAGAACGATTTCAAAAATTTTGATGCCAAAAAGTTGAAACTATGAAGGTGGATATTCCTGGCGATGCAGAAAACGTTAGAAAATTGGAACCACTTGAAATCAGAAGTGACATAGATGATGAAAGTATTATTATATAAAATCCTGGAGGAAAACAGTTACAGCAGCTCCATTTGATGATTTTGGTGACATTTTTGAGCATAGTGACTTGAAGAACATCCGAATTATCATACAACCACCTGTCACTACAGGTAAGTGTCTTATCTCTCGAAAAAGAAATTTGCGGTGATCTCATTCTTTTATTCGATCAGGAAAAAGAAAACTGGATGATTCAGATGAAGACGAAAGTAGTAAAATAATGAAACTAAAAGGTGTATAAATATTTTGATGCTAAACATTAATCCTCTTAACATACATAATTATTACGTTTCCCGTAAAATCATGATGAACATAAAGAAACTTGATGGGAATCCCACTGCTGTTTACTCAAACCTTCAAAACTTCCTTCCATTACCATTCCCATATCCTGGTGAGGAAAGATCAAATGATAGATTTACTATTAACAATGATGGCCTATTCACCTTCATAGAAAGAAAGGCAATCAGCAATGTTCTGAACCAAATTAACACGCTTAAGCCATATATCGGTTATAATAAAATGCTTATTTACAGCACAGTTGGGTATGGAATGTCTTATGTTCTCATAGCAATAGCTTGCCTTCTTTTCCGGAGAAGGAGGCATGGTTATATCTTCTTAATTGTCGCGAACTGGCTGTAGATCCAGTAAAATACATCCAATCAGCCTTATTTCTCACCTATGTGGATGATGATGCAAAAATAAGCGAAATTAATGCCTGTGAAAATTTTGATCAAATAATAAAAATTTGTGGATCATTATAGAACAAATGAATGCCCTGGACGAACTTAATAATATCGAAATTAACTTTGAAAAAAAGCGAGACGTTAAAGATAATATCGACAAATTGTGCTGGGATTATTATTATATTAAGAGTTTTCTGGCAAAAAATAGATCAGGCACCTCAAGGGACAACCATATCCTCAATGTGGAACGATTTTGCCCACGATGTCATAGACATCATGGGCATATGTTCACTAAAATCTATCCTCTCAAACACTTGTCAAGATCATGGATTTTATAATTTGAAAATAGATCGGCATTGCACCTTAGAAAAAAGCAAACAGGCAAATTAAAAATTAGATTTTATGTAGGGCTAGATAAGGTGAGACTAAGATGCTCTCTAATTTGTAGATTTTTGTGTACTAATATAATGTTCAATTTAGGAGAGTAGTCGAAGGAAGGAGCATAATGCCATTTTGCCAACAATGAATGATCAGCAGAAGAAACAAATTGAAGACATCACCGGAAAAATTCCGCTCTTCTTAAACATTTTATTAGAGTCTGGTTGCAAGAATTTTGAAAATGTATTGGACTACTTGAATCAACGATTAACATCAAATATATAAGAACCGATGACAAGCTTTTCAGAGAAGATTTATAAACTAAACAATAAAAGTTTGGATTTTTATGTATTTTTAGTTTGCTTCGTGATTGTAAACTGATTTCTCTATTTACACTGTCACGTCGACTTGATTTCATCGTTCCTGGCAAAAGGACATCCTCCAAGTGGCTACGGAGTTGATGATTTTGATCATCACTTCTTTTACATTGAAAATAGACTCGCTAGTATGTCTGTGAGATGGCATGGGATTGCATGGCAAACTATCTCTATGAAAAAGGCAAAATAAAAGTATTTACAGATATAAAGTGGATCAGTTGCATAGAGAAATTCAAAAACAATCATCGGTTAATAGATTTTTTGTAGAGAAGGGTGCATTGCTAGTATTTTTAAGAATGGAATAATGGCGAACGGTGCAAATTTTAAGCCTGACAATATGGAATTTTTTATAATGGAAAAAAAAATCCGATTTTCTTGAATGAAGGGAAATGTATACTAAGTGATATAATTATGGTCTGTTGATTATTTAAAATCAAATTTTTGTATAAAAAAGAGTAAAAACAAGTGAAAGAAAGTAGAAATAATATTGAAATTTATTCTTCAAGTTGTCTTAATAAAACTTTATTAATATAAAATCATAAAATTTCTGTAACTTCTTTTTATGGTTTTTTTATAGTTTAAAAATTTTTTCCTTTTTTTATTTTAATCAAAAATCTTTTTTAGTTATAAGAGTTATATTCTTTATATATAAAGGAAAATAGATTGTTTAAATTAAAAAAAAGATTCTTAGGATTAAAGAATTAATAAATTCCTTAGATAGTAAAAAGGAAATAATTATTTATTCGAGAAAAAATAAATAGAGTCAACAATAGACCTTTTAAAAAAAAAATTTAAATGATTAATGCAATTTTTTCAATCAGTATAATGAGATTACTTCTACAAAAATTGATATTGAAACGGATAATTTCAAATCACTCAAATCTTTCAAAAATCAGTCGAAATAATGGCACGTCAACGAATGTTTAAAGTCCCAAAATTCTTAAAAAATTTCCTTTTTAGGCAATTTTTTCTAAGAAACAAAAAAGCGCATGGAAGAGATGAGTTCTCATAGAACCCTTTGCAGTTCCACAACTAGTACAAGACCCAATTACAATGAGAACCTTTTAGCAAGAGGTAATGCAAAAAATCTTCAAAAAGAAACCAATATGAGCAGCTAAAGTACAACAACCCAACCCTAAACAAGAATAAAGAACTTGAAAACCAACAGAAAACATCCAAAACCTCTCCACAAACGAACAAGTAATCCAACAACCCACAGCTAACCATAAGAACTCTCAAGACCATAATAGACAGAATGCAAGCAGCTCAGTATCACAAACATGAAGCGATCAGATAAAAGAAACAATCACCACTAGAAGTAGACCACACTTCAAAAAAGCACTTGAAAGGAAATATCAAATACCCAACAACATATCCACAAACTAACAAGAATTAATAACTCTGATATAGAAATGTATGATAAAGGAGAGAAAGGACCAGATCAAGACCCAAAAAAGAAAGATACTAAAGAAATATTACAAGTTCAAAGTAATCAAAGAAGAGGTCACCCAAGATCAAAATCACCTTTTAACAGAACAACAAGATATGGCAAGAAAAGATTCAAAACAGAAATCATAGCAAGTGACATCCCAGGCATCACCGCTGGCCAAAAGATTACATACTTAACCAAAGCTTTAAATAATCCAGAAAGTCTCTTCAATATTTACAAGGAAAAAAAAGAGAGTATCAACTACATCACAGTCTTATTTGGAGAGGAATAGGCTGCAAAAAAGACATGCAACTTAATCTTATCAAACACAGATCAGAAAAGATTGACAAACATGACAATTATACTAACTGAATCAAAAAAGGAAAACAGTATCAAAGTAAGAGACATTTCTCTGACCACAAAATTTATAGAAGTATAATAAATCTTTGCTAGATATAGATAGATTATCAACATATTAATGCATACAAGTCAAATGTGACAAATAACAACATTCACTTTTCAGGATAAGAAAACTAAGAAACAAATTATCTAACAATATAGCATACTAATCAAAGGAGATGTAACAAGAATAATGAATGTACAATAGAACAGACAACAAATGATTGAGAGATTTCAATATGCTGCAAAACTCACTAATCTTCTACTGAACACCAATGCTTTCAATCTAAAGAATATATGTTAACAACATCAAGCAAAGTCATGCTACATTCCCCATAGAATAAAATATACCAGGCAATAATTTGCGGTCATATCTTTCGAATCTGAAAACAAACTAAAGAAAGTTTAAGACAAGAATTAATTATGAGAGAAACTACTATCACAGTCAAGCCAATAGAAATAAACTCTACTTTATTTGTGATCAAAGCAATCATTTCCTGGTACAATGTCCCATTAAAAAAAAAAAGAGAATAATGGTTATTATATAACAAAGACCAGGCATTAAAATTCAACAAACTTTATTAAAAGTTTAAATCTGCTGGTATCCAACATATTAGAAACATACAGCAGCAAGTAGAGAAACATATATATAGAGACCAAGATCAGATTTCTATACAGCAGTAGCAGCAACTAATCCTAGAACTAAAACTAAACAAACAAATGGTCAGAAGCAAGATTCACTAAACAAAATCCTCAATATGTTATAACAAATATAAGAAGACATCAAAGAAATCAAATTATCAATTGAAGAACTGGATGAAAGAATCACATACCTCGAATTATATAAGAAGTATAATAATGATACAATGGAAGATGACACACAACAAGCAACAAAGTCAGATAACTCAAACGTGACAATCTCAGCCTCTTCCACCAGCGTAACACCTAACATTCAACAAAGACAACAAGAACTTCATAACTCAATCAATAAAATGGATCAAAATATAAGCAATATTTTCTCTGCAATTAACACTTTTTTTCCTAACAACAAACAATCTCCAACATATAAACAATAATGTGTAGTTCAAATAGTATCAATAAATCAAAAGAAAATAATTTAATAAACTGAAACAGAAATCAAGACATATCTACAAATCCTGACTCAATTATACAATTTACGAATATAACAATAATAGATAACAACATTTACTTCATAACCAACAACACTCCAACTGCATATCCAAATAACACAAATCTCAATTAAACAATAGAACAACCAGATACAATCTCAATACAAATGGAAGACAACACACAGCACTACACTGAACAACATATTCAAAATCTATGAAAAATCACAACACAAAACATCAGAGAAATTACAGACAATTTTAAAAGACAAATGTGGTTTGACCTTGTCAACAGTCAAGGTTGGGACATAGTAATTACAACAGAAGTCAATAAAACAAACCAAGCATCAAAATATTGGAAATGTCCCAACTATTACATAATTTGGACTTATCACGAATTCCAAACATTGGGACAAGGTCATAACATAATTATTTACAATAAAATCGCAAAAATAATTTTCAAACACAAGAAACTTGATAGAAGGCTGATAGCAGTAGACATGGCTTTCCCAAATAAACAAAAAATATGAGTCATAGAAGTATACTTTCCTGCAGTAGCAACAACCAAAGAATGCATACCAGTAACCAGAACCCTACAACAATAGATAAAAGAGACTAGTAACAAGGACTGATATATTATAGTCCTGGAAGATATGAATAGAACTCCCAACCCAATGCTAAACAGACACAACAATCACAAATCCTATATACTAGCAAACTAACTGGATCATACATAGAACTGTTGATCAACAGAAGTTTTGAAGACAGCTTCCATATATACAACCCTACTAAAAAGGAGTTTACATGAAAGGGACAAGATAGTAGAAACAGAATAGACCAAATATGAATTAGCCCTTCAAATAAATGGCAATCAATAAATGCATATATACGAGATATACTATAACCCTTAATTAAAAATGAACATCAAAGCATGACTATAGAACTAGAAATGTGGAACCTAGATTCAAGTTTGGAGAAAAAAGCTTTGGTGCACAAGCATAATCATAAATTTAATTGGCAACACACTAGTGCTGAACAATGGATGGCCTTTGTAAACATTATGGAAGAGTTAACTTCAAAAACTGCCCAACCAAATGTATCAATAGACAAAAGGTGGAATATCTTTAGAAATAATATGCTAAGAGCTGCCAAAAAGAACATCTATAAAATTAAAAACCATTTCATAAAAAGGATTTATCTAAAACAGGCAAGCCCCCTTCATCTATTATCTCCTTATAAAATTTCCTAAATAACCTAAAAAACCAACCAACAAGTGCAAAAAAAACTAATTCAGCTGAAGAAATTCTAATACCAAAAGAAATAAAAGTTGGAATTCTTGACATATACTGTATAATATACTCATCACAACAAAGATAAAAAAACTAGGAACATATATTCAGAATAGATTATAATTCTGCAAAGAAATGACCTATGGGTCTATAGCACAGTGGTAGTGCTCCCAGGTCACAATCACAAGGTCCATAATTCAATACCACATGAGGGCCATGTGAAAGATTTAAGGAATGGAAAAACTGTCTATGACGCAAAACACAACCAGGTTTAAGAAAATACCAATTATCACCATTCCGGTTTCATACAAACAGGGTTTTTCCACTTCCAGTTCTAAGTGGGTTTTTCTCCCTATAAAAGGCACAATCTACACAGCTGAACACAAACAAATCTGGAAAAAGTACCAAAACCGGCAACAGTGCCACATCCATCAGAACCATTTAAAAGGTATACTTATCCTTTCACGGAACTAGCAAGTCAAGCCTGGCAAGTTAGTTGGGAGGAATCCGGAAGGATTGAAGATCCAAAAATAGGAGTGTCTAGATTTTCTAGATAAGGAATAGTAGAAATTTAATCTGACCGGATATTTCTGGGCAACAAGCTGTCTGGTGGATCCTTTAAAAGTAGGGTTCTAGGAATGTTTGTCAACATAAATGATATAAATATGTATTCCCTGCAAATTAAATTTGTAAATTACTATATCAAGTTAATAAATAAGGCTGAGTTTCCGTTCCAACAATATTTTATTAAATAAGATTTTAAATATTCGTGAAATTTCAAATTTCAAATATTTTAACATATGTTAATCAAAATTTATTAATAGGGAATTACTTATTTAAAATAGTAATTACAGTATAATATTAAGTAAATATCAAAATTTTAATAAAAAATTAAATTTTAAATTAATAATACAAGCTAGGTTTGTTCAAGTTTAATAAAATATATAGTATAATAATAAAATACTTGAAATAGAGAAATTTGAAAGTATTAAAAAGTATCGAATATAAAATACTATATATAATAAAACAACAGTATTTTATTTATTTATTTATTATTATTGATTAATTTCAAAGATCAAATAATCCATTATATTTTTACTGTATATTTCAAATGTGAAATGCGCAAGATAACGATTATTTTAACAATAAACACGTTCGATATACAATACGTAATAAGAAATAAATTAACGCTCGCTAAATCCGACCCTCGCTTCATGAATTCCGGGGAATTTACTGTAATGTCGGTCTCTTCAATTCAAAAATTTGCTGAGTAAACACTGAGTTAGAATCAATCATGTATGTAATCAGTGACAAGTTTCCTTGGCGAACTTGTATCATTCCATTTTAAAACAGACAGTAGGGATCAGGAATCGACTTGGCGCTTTCAGAATAAACAATTACAGATGTTTATCGATACGATTGGTTCAATTCCTTCTACAGCATTTGCAATGCGCAAACAATAAAAGGCAAGATACCAGTTGTATATATACAAATATAAATATAAATATATTATGTACGTACGTGGGTACGTAAGCCTCCTTTAAGATGCACCTTTCGGAAAAGAAACCACTTTCTGATTTGTTCGGAGAAGAACAGAAACATTCCCGGGCGATAAACGGGCACAATAGATGAATAATGAGATTGCGTATACAGTTACATACGGTTTGTCGGAACCTTTTTTGTCGTACAACATATAATCTACGAGTCGTGCGAATTTTGATATTCACATAAAAATCAAACAAAGAAATATGTTCACACAAAATAAGGATACTTCTATTCAAAGGGACAACACTACTGTAAATACAATTTGGTGACAGTGATATGATACATGTCCCTTTTTTACAATAGTAGTTAAAGTTAAGGTTAATGAAGAATGAACGCATTATTAATTCGCTCGAAATATAACAAATTTTAATTAAACCTTAATATAAAGCTCAAGCACTTTTGTGTTAAGTATAGTGTGATATCATTTATCATTACGAATTACGACGGTTAGTGACGATCGCCAATATATTATACGTACAGTGCATACTGTTTATCGAAATTCAATTTTGGGCATGAAGGAAATAATTTTTTTTATTAAAAACCACGTAAACATCGGACAGAGCCATGCATAAAGTATTTTAATAACTAGATCAGCATTTGATTCCTTATTATTTTTTTTTTTCCTTTTTTTTTTTTTTTTTTGAAAAGCCTTGCATCAACGAAAAAAATGATCTTGTATTTTATTCATACAAGTATCGAAGAATGCGCGATATTTATAATTAACTTCAGAGAAGACAGGGTAGATTTCTTTGTTGTTTTTATCTTAGCAACCGATTCGCCCAGAGCAGCCAGCGATCACGAAGATGAAGATCAAGATCATGATCATGATCAGGATCATAATCGAAGGCAATTGGAAGAAGCGTTCATAAACGGAACAACGTGGCCATAAGCATTTAGCCATTGACAGCTACTTAATCTCGAACGCGATGTTGCAACTGCGCTGGTCACAGTCATCTCCATAGGTATTAATTATGCGAACGAGGCATAAACCCATTTACTGTATATATCATTTTTATGGAACAAAAATTACCAGGCATCAACCCATTTACATATCATTATTATGGAACAAAAAATTGCCAGGCATCAACCCATTTATATATCATTTTTATGGAACAATAACATTTAATTATGAAAATTGATATGGGAAAATCGGGAACCCGAATAGAATAGGAATTACAAGTTTAAAGGAATGGTATAATAAGCCGAACCGAATCTCGTTAATTAAGTCTAAGTCAATAAGGAGTGCAATTAAGGGAATCAAAAGAATCAATAGGCTATTTCCGGCGAACAACTTCCCCTCTTGTCTATTCATCGACGCAAGCTAATTTATGACTTCGAATACGCCATAAAACTTGCATGTGAAAATCGATCATGGTGTGGTGTAGTGGTGTAGTTAAATATTTGGACATTGGTTTTGTCAAACGTGATGGCTCGGAAATCACTGATGACTTCGTCAAACAAAACAAACAACTCAGCAATCGAATTTTGTGTACGGCAAATTCTCGTGAACACCTTATTTTATTCGACAAAGGTTTAACCTCATAGTAAAGAATTTCTTCTTTGGGACGAATGAAAAAACACAATTTATGATATTATTCTACCTTGCATGGTTTAAATTCGCCGTAGATGAAATATTCAATGGATCGAAAAATGCGGACTATGGATTGTGTCAACTGGGGGCGATGTGCTGATAATAAAACGACCTTATGTGCAAAGCTCGGTATTTTTTTTTTGTCCAATAACATCTCTCTAGATGCGGCATCGAAAAAGCAAATGAAAAACTAGACTTCGACATTATGGATTCATTATCCCATGGCGTCACTCAAATGGTTCGTAGCAAATGAGGTGTCAATTATCGACGAAATTGTCAAATCTCGAATCCCATTCTCTTTAGTCGAACCCGGTATCCTCCGATACACACATTTGTGTAGCAAAGACGGTGTCATGAGAAAATTTGCGTTACAAACGTGACGTGAAAATTCATGGGTTATACGCAATAGATTTGATTAACGTGTAACACCAACAATATATATAATCTCTGAAAAAATGTTCAGCAAAAAATTTACGCCGTGACTTTATCGCAAAATTTGTCTCGCAAAGTCGTGACGTTTTAAGAAAAAGAAATAGAATTCATAATTGTAGTTTTGACAACTCCAGAAAACGTGAATTAAGTAATAACTTATCGAAAATGACGCCCGTTGCTATCATCTTGGCTGAACGCATTATAAAATTTATAATCAGCTTAATTCCTGACCCGTTACATTCGCCCCCCGTCAATGAGATTATCACTCTGTCGCATAGTAATTTAGTGTTGCGAGATACTTTGCGTGGAACTGACGCACTATATCTGGCGATATACCATTACATCGTTCAATATGGAATTTGTGCCAGGTACAACGAATTGGAGACACGTCAAGCTGTTAGAATTACTATGCACTATCTATGGAGGAATTTTACACCTGATCAAAGAAGGGCTTATATTGACCTTTCCAACAGGTTAAGTGGTCATAATAGAAGAAACGAAGGCCTCCTCCATTCTCGCCGCGTAAGACGTGGGGGTGGAAACGCGGTCAGAGTTGATGGCGTTGAGGGGGTTGGCCGTATTTAAAAAGGAAGGCTTTCTCCATTCTCGACGCATAAGACGTGGGGGATACGTGGTCAGGGGTTGATGGTGTCGTCTTCAGCAAGCGACATCCTTTTATTAGCAGACAGACGGTGTTGAAATTTTATTTGCAGAAAATTTGTAAAATATTTTTTATCTTCTATGGTTTTCGATTTCTTGCTAAGAATTTTACGTATACGTGCAATCAATCGGAGTCCTGTAATCCGTGTGGGAGTATTTTTAATTAAAAAAAACAGTTTTCGTGCGCAAATCCTTTTGCTTTTGACACATGAACAATTATCTGAACCAGATATATTGTTTGATATGCCATGCAGGCAACATAAAAAGAAGAGTAAATCGAATTCATTCTTAAAATTACATCAATTATTTATTATTTAATGGTTCCTAAAATATATATACAGTATATATATATATATCTTTTTTTTTTCTTTCCATAATCTTTTTTAATAATTTGGTTTTTATTAATGACAAAAAGAATTCTTTGGAGTTGTCTTATATAACTTTGCGAAAGAAAAATCGAGAATGTTCGTAAAATTTCGTAGTCTAATTAATTTACTGCGTTATAATGCTTCGTAAACACTGTAATTAAAAATGAACACAACTTATTTATAATAAAGATAGATAGATAAATAAAATTAAGAATGTAATTACATATTAAAAAGCCGTGTTTTAAATTTAACTTGTAAATATAAAAAAAAAATTTTTTTTTTTAAATAAACTAATGTCATTATAAATATAATTTACCATAATAGGGGCTATATCCCGCCCAACAGATTTAAAATAGTGGTCGGGGAATTGAATGGAATCGAATCCAGAATCATTTGAATCCCTTATTATAGTTATTACATCTTTGTAAAAAATGATTTGTTTTTATTCATTTATTTATTTTAAGAATATATTTTATTTTTAATTATCATATATGAATTTTTTTGTGAAATATTTAAAAATTATTTGAATTTTTTTAATAAATATCAATTTCTTCAATAACAAAGATATAAGATTTGAATTATTTTATATATTAAAATTAAATAAAAAAACTTGTATAATATTTTACATTATTAAATAAAGGTAAAAAAATTTTTTGAATATTTTATTTAAAAATTAAAAAATTGGTTTTATTTGAATTTAATTTTTTAATAAAATATAATAAAAATTTCAATTCAAAAAATCATTTGTTTAATTTAATTTTTTTTTTACACAAAATCAATTTTACTTATTTAAATTAAATGGATTTATATATTTATTGTAATATTAAAACTATCTATATTAATCAATTAAAGTTTTTTTAAAAAATATTGGTTTAATAAATCTTTTCTTATGATTTGTTATTATTTATTAAAAATTAATTTATCAATATTGAATTAATTTTATATAAAAATTTAAAATATAATATAAATTTATAAATTTATTTATATAATTATTAATTAAATCAATAAATTAATTTTAATATATACATATATATTATTTTCAAATTATAGATTTTTAATCTTTCTACTTTTTTTTTATAATTCATTGTTTTATTTTTTATTTTTGATATTTTTTACATTTGAATATTTATATATAACACAAATAATAAATAAAATTTCTATTTAATTTTTCTTAAATATAAATATTTTACTTGTTTATTTATAATATATTTTTTATATTATATACAATATTTCAATATTTTGTAAAGTATAATAAAATCTTTTTAAATATTTTATTAAATATTATTATTATATTATTTGTAAAAGTTATTAATAGAATAATAAATAAATATATATTTTTTAAATTAAGTTTCCAAACTAAAAAAAAACTTTTTTTGTAAATCTCTTAAATCTTTGAAAAATTTTTTTTTAGGTAACATACCCAAGGAAAGAAACAATACACATAACTTAAGACACATACTTTCTTACAATACCAATACACAATAGATATCTTAGTATAGAAAACAATACTTTGTGTATAGCTCTAATCTAGTAATCACTGAGGAAAACACAACATAAAGTATAATTTTAACTATATTTTCTTTACCAAAAAGAAGAAAATAGGTCAATATAAACTAATTTACAGTCAAAAAAAAAGGAGCCAATATCAACTTTACAGAGCTTACAGCCAGGTCAGTACAGATTAACATCTTTCTTAACATTACAAGAAGTTCTAAAACAAATAGGTTTGCTTAATAAATTAAGCAAACCTCAAATTTTTCAAGACACAGAAGGATATTAAAACTTTTCAAAGTCTAAACAGCCTAACATATACAGTATATTCTATCTCCACACATACCAAAACACATCACTAGAGTAGCGTAAACATGTATATGTATATAAAACTGTTGTCAAAACAAGTTCGACAAAAGTTCATCACAACAGCACAACAAGTGTAACTTAAATTGATAAGATCATCAAATACAACTATCACAACAAAAAGTGATCAATATAAACAAAGTATCAGGAGTTTATAAAAAAATATAACAAAGTCAGTGTAAACAGGTAAACAATCTAAGTAAAAAAGGAGAAATGATATGTCCCTAATTAAAACAAGATTAAGACATATATAAAGACAAGATTATCATAAAAAACAATAAGCATTATATGTAAAAGTTTGTCAACAATTACTAAAATAATACTAAGAATATATATTAATCTGCTTATGTAACTATTTATAATACAATATAACAATATGACAATAATATCAATCCACATATATACAAAAAAAAAAAACTCTTTCTACTAATTTCTTTTTTCTTAAAAATTTCTTTTTTGGATAATTTTCTTGAAAAAGAGAAGCCAGCCTAAAAAACATCTTATTTCTCAAAGATTCAAGACTTAATAACAAACTAGAATATTCAACCATTCTCCCAAGAGATCACTTTATCAATTAAAAAAAGTTTTGACAGTACAGCATTACGCTAGCTTTACTTTACAAGTGAAGGAAATATATCTGCAAGCTGATTTACAGTAAACTTAGAAGAGTCCGATATCAACTTCCCAAACTTCTAACCAGGCCAATATCAGTTTACATCTTTCTAGTCATTAAAAGGAACTTTATAAACAATAGTTTCTATCGATAAATTAGGAAAAACTTAAAGTTTACAAAGCTTAGAAGGATATCAAAGGCTTTCAAGAACTAAACATTAGAGTATTTTAATTCCATACACATCTGTCTAAACATCAAAACAAGTTATGCAAATGCATATACATCAAATAATTCAACACCAAAACAATATAGCAAGATTTATCAAGTGTCTATGTACTAATGACTTATTTTTCATAACAAAGAAGATCAATATTAAATCCAGTAAATAAACAAAACTAAACAGAAAGAATCAACAACTTATCTGAGTAATCAAGACACTAAACAAGACAACAAACAATTAATCCTATATATCTTGCTAAATATAAATAAATAAACAAATTAAGGATAAACAAAACAACTAATTGGCATTTTATTCTTCTTTATATGTGATCAATATGATAAAGAAATGAAAAATAATGCAAATTGCTAAGAAGATAGAGCTACACATTCTCGATACAATAGTCAGAATAGCTGAAAAATATGATTAGAGAAAAAAAATATGGGCTACCCAAATCATCTTCAATACTTTCACCATATAAGACAAATCCAATTAGATATCAGGATCAATAGAATACTCAATACTCAATAGTATTCTTGCAAAAATTTTAAATATAGATCCAACTATATTTATTAAAGCAGAGGTTCTTAGAACATATATCCTATATTTATGAACGCAAGGTCACATAAGAGAAGAAGACTTTATAGTACCCTTCTTGGAAGAAAAAGTTGGACGTATCTTGGAGCAAGATACTTTTCAAATAGTTTTCTCCTCCATACTTCAGAAATTTTCCAGATCAAGGATGAGTTTATAAACTCCATAGTAGGAAACTCAACTTCAAATGAGAATACCACTTCAAATGAGGACATGGAAGTTCAACCAATAATCAATATCAAAATTCTGAATAACATAGAAGTTGAAATAGGTAATAAAGACATGGAGGAAAAGCTGAAAAAAAAACTTGAAATAGTAAACATCCAAAAAAGAGTTGAAGGGAAAAACATAGCAGAACAAATCTCCTACAATACATGAAACAGATCCAAGCCATCTAGTTTAAATCTATTTTATATTATTAAGAAAGAAGAATTCAAAGTGAAATCCTCATCTCCAAAATACCAGGAGATACAGAAAAAGAATGTTTAACCTATCTCCAAGATTCTTTGAGTCTATCTAGAGACATGCTACTATTCAAAAAAGACTTTCTCAATAGTAACACCTGAATAACTTTTACCTTTGAGAAAATGGAAGATACCTTACAATGTATAGAAAAGATTAACAAGAAAGAAGGAGAAAACTTTACCTTGATACCATCATAGGCAGAGAAATGAAACTTGATTACAGTCATACCCATCAAGAAATCAAGACTACTTAACAAAAATATGGAAAGGTTTCAAGTATCCATATTTACAACCACTCTTACTTTCAAAAGAGAATCAAAGCATGACTTATTCCAAATCAGCAAGACTTGGAGAATAGATGGTTTATTCATATCAAAGAAATACCTTTAGAGCAATTTTCACTCAATATGAACCAGATGACCATAAAGTTGATACTATTCTCAAAAACTATAACAGTCAATTCTTACAACTGTATAGTATATACAATACCTTTACAAGTCTCATAACAAGGGCAATGTAGTATGCAGGGGTTAAAACATGTTATATATCAAGAAATCCTTTCACTTTGAAAAGAAGTGAATTACACTAGTCAAAAAATATTTATTTGGCATAATGTTACTCATATAACGTTTATCAAAAAAATAAATAATTCGACATATTAATGACATAAATAAATTGTCAATCTATTTCTACCATATAATTCAGCAAATAATTTGGCATAAATAAATCATCAATTGATTTCTACTATATAATTCGGCATATAATTTAAATCATCAATCATTTTCTACTATATAATTCAGCATTATTTGCCA